TATAATCCATCTCAGTGGCCTGGGCCAGTCCAGGCTGTCTCTGGGGACTCCCCCTGGCTCCCACTGAGGGTTCACACCTACTGCCAGCCCCGCCCCACCTGCCTGCGCCTTAGTTCATAAGCGTCTCTGGCGGATCAGCCACAAAATTTCTCTCTACCTGAAAGGAGTCAAAACAAAGCCAGGAGGTGCCACTGAAGCTCAGCCCTGCCTCCAAGGGCCGGTTGACCTCCCACACTTCCCTACTGCTCCCCTCAACCCCCACCTTCCCCCACTTCCCTACTGCTCCCCTCACCCCTGCTAGAGGCCAGTGCCCACGAAGGACCAGGCTCTGGGCTCCATCCTGAGCCAGTTACTGCTTCACCTGCCCGGGGCCCCCGTTAACTCTTCCCCAGGGCACCCCACTGCGGGCCTCTCCGCGAGCCCTTGGGAGCCGCTGGCCCCAGCCTCCCTCCTGCCGCTGGATGGAGCTGCTTCTGGCTGCCTGAAGTGAAAACACCTGACCCTTTGACGTGGCAGTTGGGACCTGGTCAGGGGCAGTCTTGGGAGCCCACCTGGCCCCAGTGTGAACAGTCACGCTGCCGGCTGCCCGGCTGCTGTGAGCTGCGAGCGCTGCCTCCCTTCTTGCCCCTCTGAAGGGTTGCTTGGCGCTGCCTCCCTCGCCCACCCAGGACCTCGGTCCTTGCTCTGCCTCGCCAGCCTCCCTCTGCGATGACTGAGAACAGAGGCTCCCGTCCTGGCAGGGCCCAGACCTAAAGGATGAAGCTCCAGTGGGGAACCTGGGCAGCAGTCAGTGGGGTCGGAAGGCGTCTCTGGGGCAGCATGGCAGTCTCTCCGGGCTCCCCCACCCCACGTGGAGGCAGCTGTTCATTCCCAACGTGTGTGATAGAGGGGCATGCCTGGGACCCCCTGGGGCCTCATGCTGAGCTCATACTTGGCCTTCCGCCCTGAGTGTGCAGAAGTCTGGAAGCACATGCCTCCCCCAAAGATGTGGGTCTGTTCAGCTTGAGCACAAGGCTCAGGCCCTTGGCCTCCAGGCAGGACACCTGTAGCTTCCCTCACTTGGCCACGTTATAGTGACCAGGTTATAGCTCTCAGCTCACCTTTCAGGCCTGACCACCCCCCAGCTGGGTTGGGCCCCAGGTTGGGGGCTCTGGGTCACTGCTTTGGGCCACAAGGACTGTTTAACCCACCTGGCCTCCTGTACCCATTGCCTTTCTAGAGCATCTCCAAAGCCCTGGGATTCTGGAACCCTTATTTCCCAGATGGGAGAACCAAGGGACAGAACCAGGGACAGTGGGCTGAGTGCTGAGGGGACTCCATGCCTCCAAACCAGGGTGGCACCTGCTTCCCAATGTGACCTGGGGGCCTGAAGGGAGGAGTGGGAATTGGCAGCATGGAGAGAGTGAAGATGGGAAGGGGTGGTGGCATGAAGGGCAGAGGGAAGAGTTCATTCCTGCCTCTCTCTGTTCCAGGTCTCAGCCTACTCATGGTCCCTGAAGGCAAGGTCAGCTTTGCCTTGGGGCTGCCAAGGGTGACTGGAGGGATCACTGAGCCTAAACAGGCCAAAGAAAGCTCTGCCTTCCAGCCAGAGGGATCTGTACACAATCCCTCAGGGGTCACGCAGTTCCCCATCTTCCAAAGATTTCAGAGGGAAATGTAGACTTTGAGGGGCTGCCCCAAAGCAGGGGCTCTTGACCTGGGCTCCATGATCCCTAGCTGTGAATAAACCTGTGTGTGTGTGTGTATTGGGTGTATGTTGTTCTGGGGCAAGGCTGTCACTCCTGTGGGATGCTTATGGGGGTCCATGGCCCCAAGGGGTGAGCACTCCTGCTGCAGAACATCAGGGCTGGGAGGGGCTCTGGCACTCAGGGAGACAAAGCCCTGCATTTACTGATGAGGAAACCAAGGTCCAGGTGGAGATATGCTCTGTCTGAGGTCAACCTGGAAGCTGGTGTCCCGCCCAGGGCTTCGAGGTGCCTCCAGAGCAGTGCTTCACAACACCGTTAGGGCTTGGCCTGGATGTCCAGAGGAAGCAGCTCCCCAGGCCCCATTCCCAAAGGTATATCTTTGCACAGCAGAGTTTGCATGCACACTCTGTGTGAGGTGAAGGATGGGGCACGTGTGTGTGCTCACGCACATAGTGTCTGAGGAGCTGACTTCTGCAGCTGTGGTTAAAGGTGGGGTTCTGAGTTCCCAACTGTGCTTTGCTACTGGCTGAGTGACCTAGGGCAAGTCTCTTGGCTTCTCTGTGATTCAGTTTCTGCATCTGTAATGGGCAGAATACCACCACCTACCTCACCAGCTGGTTGTGAAGATTAAAGGAGTTGATAGCAAACTCTCAGCACAGCACTGGCATGGACCTGCTCCTTTTCCCCACCACCCCTGGTTTGGGATTTGGGGATGACAGGCTAGCTGTCATTTTAACTGGCTCCCTCTAGCAGCGGTGTGGAGCACAGGCTGTGGGGTGGGGGTGCGGCAGGGTGGAAAGGGCCGGCTAGGAGGCTGTTGCCTTGGTGGTCCGGGTGTGGGACCTTGGATGAGGCCAGGAAGTGGCGAAATGAATACATTTGAAGGTGAAGATGCAGACTTCCAGGTGGGCTAGAAGTGGCTGTGAGAGAGAGAGGAGCCGGGGCCAATGCCAGGAGGTAGCCTGGGCCCGAGGAAGGAGATGAGAAGGTGCTGGAGGTGCCGGTGTGTGTGGCGTCAGTAGTTTCTGGGTGGGCTGGATGCCACTCAGACCTCCAAGGAAAAACCCGAGCCTCTCTGAGCCTCAGTTCCTCGTCTATAAAATGGGGTAACGACACTTACCTGGCAGGTGGTTGAGAAGATCACCTGAGGATGGCTGTGAGTGGCCTGAGGTGAGTGAGGTTCACAGGGTGGGGGGCCAAGGGCAGTGGGAGGCAGTTTGCTGGAATGGGGCCGGTGGTGGGGAAGGTGGGGGAAGGGCCTTTCAGAACCCCCAGGGCCTCTTACCAACTCCTGAGCTCCTGCTCCCCCAGCCCCACACCCCACGGTCAAGTCACTGTGTTGGATGGAGCCTCTGTTGCTGTTGGGACAGCCCAGCCTTCACACGTGGGACAAACCCGAGTCAGGCAAGGAGCACGTGTCAGGGGTCTGAAACCCCGTCTTTACTGCTGCTCAGCTACGCCTTGCCAGGGACTTGGTTCGAGGACCTCCATGCCTTGGGCTTGGGTCTGTCGGTGGTCTGGGCTGTGGGCCTCATCCCAGAATGTCGGGAAGCATTGGGCGCTTGAGGTGCCCGGGGAAGGGCAGCTCCAGGCCCCCTGCGGCAGTGGGAGCCCCCGCCCCGCCCCAGCCTTGCATGGGTAACAGACACCCTGAACAGTACACTCCTCATGGGGAAGGCAGTCACAAAGCAGTAACACTTTTATTCCCATCAGTGATGCTGATGGCGCTTGACCCTTTCCAAATAAAAATGTTAGGAAAAAGGAAGAGGGGTGGGGGCACAGGAGCCTCTATTCTCAACGCCTCCACCCCTCTACCCTTCCCTCAGTCAGTGCCTCCAGACCGGAGGGGGCAGGGCTTCACCCCGGCCAGGGCTGGCCGGTGATGGCTCCCCAGGCAAGGGCACTGCTGGCAGAGTTGAAGGTGAGAGCAGGGAAGCTCGGGCCCAGCAAAGCTCTTCTGCTGCAGACAGCAACTGGGAAGGGGCGTGACAGGTGGGGTTTCCCCTGGGAGACCAGTCCTGGGCTTTCAGCACCCCTCTGAGGCCTCAGGGGGGCCCCTGCTGGCTCCGCCTCTCCTCCAGTGCCCTGCACACCCACATGGACACCACGGTGGCGTTTCCATCGTTGAACTGCATGATGAACGGGTGGCCCTGCGGAAAAGAGGAGCGGGCTGTGACAGAATCCCAGACTCCGTACTTCATTATGCTTGCCCAGGCCCGTTCTCAGCCTGGACCTTATTTCTTCTCCCCTACAGCCCTGTGAGGTTCCGAGGGCAGCGAGCAACCCCACTTCGCAGCTGGGTGAGTGAGGCGCAAGGCAGAGCAGCGACATGCCCGTCCCAGCACACCTCGGACTCCGCCTGGAGCTTGGTTACCTGCTCCTGAAATTCCAACCAGCCTGAAGCTCCCCACAGGTGAGGCCTGTCTGGACTCCACACTGCTGCTCCTTCCTCGGCCCAGCATCACTCCAGCAGCTGTGGCCACGCCTGGCTCCCGAGCTGCCAGCGTCAGCCCGGCTGCTGCCCGGAGGCCACGGAACCACTCGTCAGAGGCTGTTAATCCTTCCAGTTCTCTGCCTAAACCTCTATGAATAGGTCACAGTCCATGAGTGGAGGGAAGGCAGGGGTGTCAGAGGGAGAGGGATGTGCTGGTGTGTGCAGATGTGTGGCTCCTGGTGGGAAGCTGGGGGCTGGATTTTGGCAGGGCGAACACTGTCTCCAAGGCCTGCCTTGGCTCTAACCTACTTTGCCCACAGGCAGGCTGGGTTATATTTAGCCAACATCCTCCCTGCTGCCCTAAAGAATCAAGGTTCACACCCACAATCTCAGGGCCTCCTAGGAGTTCCCAGGGAAGGCCAGAAGGCCAGAAAAAAAACAAGGCCAGCCACAGGGTTACCCTGGCCACAGGTCAAAGGTAAAAGGAAATCAGAAAAGCCTTCTCTCCCCTCTTCCTCAGCAGTGGCTTCTCTGCTAAGGAATGCACACCTGGCAGCTCTGCCCTCCCTCCCCACCTACCAAAGTGGTAGCCTAATGCCCAAGAAGCCAGCGTGGGTAAGCAGAGAGAAGTGGGCCTCCCTGTGCCTTTCACTCCCCCAGCTCCTTCCCCCTCTTCCAGACTTCCAGCTCCAGCTGCCCTGCTCCCTTCCTGCTTTCTGCGCCCTTCCTGGGCCTCTTCCTGCCCTGAGCTGGGCTCTCAGGGGCAGCTTTCCCAATCCATGCCAGTCTTGACCTGCAGGCATGGGGGACAGCCAGCCACTGGCCACATGCTCGAAGCTCCGAGAAGCTTCCAAATGAGCTTATTATGTGGTTGTGAGGGATGTGGGCCCAGGGCTCGGATGGCCCAGATGCCCAGACACCAGGCCACGGGAGGGGAAGGGGCTGCTTGGTAAGACGTGAGATGTCTTCAACAGGAAGGAAGGAAGCCCAGGCTTCCTCACCCTGGGCTGACACTGTGACCATTTACCCAGCCCAATTCAGGCAAGGAAAACCAACCTTGGAGAACCCTGCATGGTCTGGTCTAGCTCAGAGGTACATAGAACCTGTCAGAGGTGCGGGCAGGAGAAAAATCAGCTTGAGGGTGCTGGGGGCACCCAGCCCAAGGCAGGGACTCACTGAGGCCTTCTATGATCTGCCCAAGGCACTCTGTGGGGGATCCCAACATACCTGCAGGACCCCAAGGGAGCAGGCCCCTGGTTCAGACTCCTGCTGGGGAGGGGAGGTGGTGGAGATGAGGCTCGGTGGGTGTCCCACAGGGAGCAGGTGGGGAGGCTGAGGCAGGAGAGGCCCAGAAGGGACTCTATTTTGGCTTCCACATGTCCCCTCCCTCATATCTGTGCCCAACCTATACCTGCCTTCCTAAATTGCTGCCTAGATAGAGAGGATTCTTCCCGAAGTCAGATCATGTGCATTTCCTTTTCAGGAGGCGCAGGAGAGGCGGGAGAGGCGACCTTGTGCCCTTGTGAAGAACAAAGGGAGAAGCTGTGCTCAGGAGCCCACGGGCCCCTCCCACCAAGCCTGGGGTAGCGGTGTCACTTTCCCAGAATGCCCGGTGACTTTGGGGCCCATATGCTCCATCTCTGTTATCATCTGTTCGGAACAAGCAGAGCGGAACTGCGGGAGGGAGAGAGGAGGCATTCCTCCAGTTGGGAAGGCTGATGGCCGCGCTGCAGGGGAGCATTTTGCCCAAGTGCCCTAGGAGGCAGAGGAGGGAGGAGAGAGGAAGGAGAGAGGGTGGGCATCCAAGGCTCCAGTGGAGACCCTGCCCCTTTCCTGCCCCTCTAGGCTGGGAGGTGACTCCCATCTCCTGCTTTACACCACCTTGCAAGGGAGTGACCTGGATGAGTGGTCTGTCCCCAGCTATTGTTGACTAGTTTGAAAGGGATGAGAGGGAGAACCACAGAGGGAGGAGAGAGGAGAGAGATAGTCAGACAGACATGGAGGGGAGGCCCCAGCATCTCCAGGCATCCAGGGAGGTAACGTGAATTTGGGAGCTGCTGGCAGCGTGGGCCACCATGTGACGGAACATACGAGAAGCCAGTGTGCAGGGAGTGGGGGCAGACACAGCTGCTCGAGGGAAGCAGAGCAGGCAGAGGGTGTTGGAGACCAGGGGCCATGGTACCCAGCGGGGCAGCATCTCTGCCTGCAGGGTCCACGAGCACCTCACAGTCTGGGGTAGAGGCACCCAGGTCACATGGGTGGGCACCTCACAGACGAGGAAATGGTTGACCTGCCTGGGCTCCCTAAGCTGGGACTGGATAGGAAGTCTGTAACCAAACCCACAGCCAGGCTCTCCCTGGGCTGACCTGGGTGGCAGAGTGGGGGGAATCAATATCCAACTGCAGTTTCCCCTCACCTTATTTCCACCACGTGATGCTGACCTGACCAGAGGTGGGACCAGGGTGCAGGCTTTGACCCTGGTCAGTCCCAGGTCCTGACCTCTGTCAGCGCCATCCTGTGGATACACTGGGAGGGTGCTCTGTGATGGTGGAGGGTCACTCTGACTCAACTCTCCCTCCTCCCATCCGCCCAGCGTGAGGAGCAGGGAAAGTACACCACCACCCATTGTGCAGGACAGGAAACAGCGGGGAGGTGAAGTGACGAGGTTAAGTGCTGGGGCTGAGTTCAGATTTCTGGTTTCTACTCTGGTACATTCTCAGGGCCAGCTGCGTCCCCCGTGACCCTGGCAGGTATGTTCTCCACTCCCTCCCTGAGTCTGCCTGACGTACCTCCAGCTCTGACACAAGATGCAATGATTCCTCATGAGTTTAATGAGCAAACAAACAAGACCTGGTGGACAATCCTGTGGAAATCATGAAATCACTCGGCCACCTTGAAGTGCCTGAGTTCTCTGGTGGCTCCAGACCGCCGCAGCGGACGCCGGCAAGCCAGATGCTATAGGAGTCCCAGCAAGGCCAATGCCTGGAGGTAGATGGAAATGGCTCAGCGAGTAACACTCATACTGAGGCAGCACCAGGCATACTGAGAGTGCTGTGGGCCAGGCATTTGCCGAAGGCTTTGTCCTGATTTTCCCACTGAACCCCACACTCACACTAGAGGTGCACACAGTTATGCATCTCCATCACCAGATAAGAAATAGGCACTCAGGGACCCATCGGAGGTGAGCGAAGCAAATGGCTGGGCTAGACTCAAGTCTCCTGACTCCAAATGCCATGCATAGGACCACGTGTTCACCTGCACCTGGGACCAGAGAGCTGACCCTGCAGGCCCCTCTCTGGAGTGTCTGAGGCCCTAGGAAGGCTCTGGCCCACTGCAGCACTTGGGTGAGATGTACATCCCTCCCAGGCACAGGAAGCCAGCTATGGACAAGCTCTCAGCCCCATCATGCTGCAAGGAGCAGTGGGAGTGTGGAGTGGTCACCTCCCTGGAGCCAGCACATCCAGGTGACTGCCCCAGACACCTAGGCCTCTGCCCTCCATAGTGTGTGCTAGCGGCCACTCTGCAGAGGCTGGCAGGGCACGTGCCAGGCCTGAGCTGCTGAATGATCTCGCTGGCTTCATCTCCAGGCAGTGGGAGCCACTCTCATTTCACTGATTCTCTCAGGGCCAATTGCAACAATTAAATCGGTGTGGGCTGAAGTATTATGGTCCACAAACTTCGCCACAGAAGATGGAGACATAATGAAGGGAAAAGGGTGGGACTATAAGAGTCGGGATGGATCCAAAAGTGGGACGCGGTGGGGAGGGAGACAGGGAGGGAGAGACAGAGAGAGAGACAACAGCAACCAAAGACAGCTGGTGTCACCTGGTGCGGCGCCCCTGCCAGTGGGGCTGAGAAGCAAACCGTGCCAGCTCAATGGAGGGTGCTGGTGAAGACCCAACAACTCACGAAGAGGAGCTGCAGTTGCCCAGGACACTCTCCTTCCTCTGGGTATGGTGTCCAGTGTCTCACTACAGTCTCACTCTTTCATGCAATAACGTCCCGAATTTTTGCCCACCCATTTCACTGTGATGAGATGCCTTCCTGATGACTGACAACAGGACCCTCCCGACCCTCCCATGTGGGCGCACTCTACCTGTCCACGACAGAGGCAGGGACGGGAGGGTCACTGCGCCCACGATGCAGGCAGGAATGGGCTCCGCGCCTGCTGTGGTGGATACATGCTGCCTGAGGCTCAGGTGTCTGGACTCCTGGTCCAGTGCTCATTCACTGACACCTCACTCTCTGCTCTCAGTTGGTTTTTGAGTTTCTTCCCAAATAGGAATTAACTATTTGGGGTCTCCACACTTCTTCCGTCATATAACTTCCTAAATAACACCATGCATTTGAGCCACCTAATAACTTGCTGCTGTGGCTGCAAGGCCTGGCGCGTGGCAGGCCCTCCAGCAGTCCTGTGGCACGACAGAGTTACCTGTATATTCTGTACGTCTGCACCGCTGTGTGCCTGCTGGCTGCCTTGTATCTGCACATGACTTTGTACCCTTAGTACCCCCATTCATACACAAAAGAAGCTGAGGTGCCAAGAAACTGACACAGGGCAAGGTCCCAGAGCTATAAAGTGGCACAGTCAGGGTCTGATCCAGGACTCTCTTCTAAGGACACCAATGACTATGCTCTCTGAGGTTGGGAACAGTGAGTGTTCAAGTTCTACTTCTTAAAAAGAGTATCTTGTACATTACAGGTGCTCAACAAGTA